CTACTTCTTTAAATACAGATACATTGTCTTTCATCAGCACTGCATCCAGGTTCCCTTGGAGCCATGATTCAACAAGGTCAAGTGAAAGCTGCAAGAAACGTCGTCGTTTGCATTAGATAGGTGGTATAAGTGCTTAATTATTTGATGAGAAGTTACCTAAAGGATGTTCAGTCCTAAAGAATTTGAATCATTAGCGGAGATAAAGAGAACTGAGCAGGCCCAAGCCCCCAATACTTTTAAAAAAAGGAAAAAAGTCAATTATGTTCAGTAACTTCTGTTTTTATTATTTTTATCTTTATTTATTTCATGGTATTTTGAATATTTTCCTTTTTAATTGTTGAAGATTACATTTGGTGATGATAAGAAGGTGAGGAAAGTAAAGATAATATAAAAAAGAGGAAAAATAAAAATTAATTAAATAAAAAATGTTAATTACCATATTTTCACACAATGTATGTTCATTAATATCCCTTTTTTTTTGTTAGTATTCTTTTACTGAATTTATGTTATTGCTATCTTTCAATTGATGACATTTGTACATCATTAACTATGAGAACAATAAATTTTCTTTAAAAAATTCATATTATTAATTTTTCATTTTGTTGACTTTTTTCATTCACACACAATTACACTTTTAAGTAAAAATTTCTTTTTGACCCCTTAAAAAACTTTTTTGGCTCCACCACTAATAACTTGAATTTTTGTACTGAAAATCCTAAATTTAAATTTAAATTTTGAGATGAATACAAAAGGGTTTGAAAATAGTAGAGTTATCCCCTATATTAATAACCCATCATCTATGTACCACAAAAAAAATTTATTTGACTAGAAGATGACAAGGATGACCATTTCTCTTGTTAACATGTTTTTGCTACCAGAAGAAAAAAAGATGGAAAAGAGGAAAGAAAACTAGTTGAATATCCAACTTAATTTTTTCACGTAGAGCTCATGCTATAAAATTAATTTTCCAAAGAGAAAAAAAATTGGAGAAAAACTCAAACCTGATTTTCAGCAAGGCCCATCTGAATGATACCAAATGGATTTTCAAATTTATGATAAGGGTCTCTTCCACATTCATTTAATCCCATGAAGTATGAAGAGTCTTCCCCATGAGAGTTTGAGCTAGCTCTGTTGGACAACATTGTCATATGCCCACCCACCTATCAAGTCAGAGCAACAATCAAATTGGAGATAAAGATGGCTAAACTTTTTGGTGATTACGCTTAGGAAATCGTGGATGGTACGTCGGAAAGGTGTCTTGTGTGTGCCTTTATATGGGAGGATTAAAGTCGGTAAACTACAATGACTTGCGCCCCAATCTGGGTGAGTAAGATATGAGGTTTAATTCGAAGGATAAGTTTCTCTACATATGGTGCATAAAATGGTTAACAAGCATACTAAAGACTCAATGTCCCTGAACTTATTGGAAAGGGGCAAGTATCATCCCTTGTCATAACGCCGTCAATACACCGTTAAAATTCTCCCTCAACTTGTCCCTCAACTTTCAGTTCTTGTGCACTTTGATGATAAACTTCATATTTATTTAATTTGGTCCTAATATCAACCTTTTTAATTACAATTTAGTTCTTAAACTTTTGAAAGAGATGCAATTAAATCTCAAAATTTGCATTTCAGTTTTTTTCACATAATAAAAATTATGTAACGTTCACTAAAATCATATTTAAGTTGTCAACTGTCTAAATATCAATAAAATCAGATCTAAAATAATAAACTACAATATAAAAAGGGTGTTTATTTAATAGTCTAAATTATAAAACATTGATCATTAAATGGGGAAAATGCCCCCAATATCAAAGGATCGAATCCTTATTCCATTGTTAATGTTGTATAGTTTAGTATAATCCAATATAATTTAGATTGCACAACACTTTTTTCATATATAAAACTTTTATCATTAAAGTGTATAATCAAAATTTTGATACCCACTTGTCCCAAAAATGTTTTTAATACTCAATTTGAAATCCAATAAAATGCTACAACTAAAGTGATGAGTTGCGGAGGATGTGAATATAATTTATGGGTGTTGTGTAAATGTGGTCTTGTGAACATCATAAACTAATAATAACCTTGGGTATTGTTTTAATAGTTATGAGTGTATGACAAGAAATGAAGGCAGCATATCTTATTTATCATTTTTTTTTATCATAATGTTGTTTCTTTCTTTTCTTTTCTTTTTCTTGATGTGAGTTATGTATATGCAACTAGGTAAATGTTCTTTTTTATTTTTAAGGATATCAAATTAGGCATTAAAGATGTGATTTTTCATTTTGAATAGATGAATTTTATATATTTTAATTTACTCTTTTAACCTTAATTTTATTAATATTTTGGATAAGTTGAAAGTGATTTTATTAGATTTTATGTATTTTTATTATTTATGTAAAGAAGACTAGAATGCATGAAATTAGAAATTTTGAGAATTATGTGAAACTCGTTCAAAAGTTTAGGATTAAATTGTGATAAGAAAAGTTAAAATCAGGGACCAAATTAATAAATTTGAAGTTTGAAGATCAAATTACATAAGAACTAAAAGGTGAGGGACTAATAATGTAATTTTACCATTAAATTCAAAGGATTTTAACGAATGTATTGACGGTGTTATAATATTAGTCAACAAGGGAACGATGGTTGGCTCTTTTTCCAAAGTTCAAAGATATTTGTAGCTTTTTTTAAAGTAAAAGAATGACAATGGCGCTTTATGTAAAGTTAAAAAAATTTTAGTAGCATTAATTCTATAGTAAAATTTTCTTTAAATTTAAAATAATAGTTTGAGTAAAGGGTAAGAATCTAATTTTTTTTATTTTGTAATAAATTAGATCCACTTATATGTACGTGTAAATTTTATTTTTTTAATCCAATAAATTGGATAAATTAACACTGTCATCATTGCAACTAATCAATAACTAATAACAAGTATGTTTTCATCCAAAAAATAATAATAACAAGAAGTATGTTAGGGCTAGCCATATTTTGGTTCAAAATTGAAAAACCCAAACAATTGAACCAAATTCAATTTTTTTTGGTTTGGTTAAATGGTTATTTGGTTTTAAATTGAATTTTTTTGAATTGAAAATTTAGTTCAATTAGGGTTTTTGCTGTAAAATCGTATAAAACAAAAGGGCTTCCAATTTAACTGAATTAGTGGAAAAATCAAATTAAACAAAAAATCCAAATTAAACTAAATATTTTTAATAAAATTCTAAATTTTGATTAAAATCAAACTGAACTAAAAAATTTCAGATAATCAAACCAAAATTTTGAAGTATAATTAAGTTTGGATTCAAACTCGAAGAAGATAACCAAAAAATTTTGGTTAATCAAAATTTCTTCCACTTTTGTCACCAAACCAAATCGAACTTATGCCAAGTGCTAAGCATGTACTCCTTTAGTTCTAAAGTAATTAACTTATTTTTATTTTTTATTAAGGATTTGAATACAATTTTTATTTTTATCCATTGTACACTTAAAAAAGAAATAAAAATAAAGAGATTTTTTAGTGATATAATGAATAATTAAAATTAAAAAATAATAATAAAGTTACAAGTAAAAAATATATACTTATCTACTAAAACAAATTTTAAATTAAAAAAAATCTACTATTATTCTATAGAGAACTTTCCTGGAACAAATTTTAAATGAAAAAAAAGTCTATTATTTGGGACGAAGGGAGTAGTAAGGTTTGACTCTTAATTCTTCCAAATTGAATCTTCATTAAGAAATAAATTTCTGTCGAGTCTTACATGATTATTGACTCTTTATAAATTGTACATTCATTAGATATCAAATTCTGTGGCTTATATAAAAAACTTCCTTGCTTCCTTCACACTGCCAATATCCAAGATACTGCAGCTCTGTTTTCACCTCTGGTGCGGAATCTGCTTTGGGTTGCAGAAACAAAATCCAGCCGGTAAATGCAGCCCGTGGGCTTGAAGCTTAGTCAATGAAGGGCCACATTCCTCAAGCCTGGAGAATTGAGCGCATGTTAAATAAAGCTTAGATGCAACAATTCACTCATGCACAAATTTAAAAATTTATTAGTAGAAATTTTGAATTTGTTAGGAGATATTTAGAATTTGACTTTGAAAGTAATTTAAAAGCAAATTTTAGAAGTTAATAACATTAGTTTTCTTGAGACAAACTTGTACACCAAAATCAACTCCTTCCCAAACAGATTTGCAAACTTGTGAGAGCAACTAATAAGCAAACTACTTTTTAAACTCTGCAGGTCTCCCTATCGCAAAAGTATAATAAAAATCTGGTGAATACAGAAAATATATAAATTGAGAAGAAAATGACGAAGAAAGTTCTTCCAATATCAGACTATAAATAAAATGGAAAGGCACATGTGCGAGTTTAAGGGATCTAACGATGGAAGGGAACATTAAGAGAATAATTTTGATTCCCATACATTAAGTATTGACTCTGGGAAGATTATTGGAGTAGCTCATCACAAACAGTAGCATCACAAAGTTTGAACAAAGCGTCTCCACAAAAGTTTTATTTCGTCAACGTCGAAAAAACTAGCAACCTGTTTTCTGCAATCAGCCTTCCAATACTGATCCTCCGGATATGATCTCAATCAATTCAGTGGTGATAGATGCTTGACGGGTTCTAAAGAGAAAAGAAAAAAATATCGAAACCAAAAAGGTCAGCTAAGAAGAAAAACAAAAATGAAAAAAATCCAATAACCAAAAGTAAATGCAAATCCCACGAGAAATAAAGTTCAAATTCTCTAAACTGGTAAGTCAACAAGAACAGTTTAAAGGACCAATTCTAGATCATCCTATTTCCCACATTTATAGTAACAGCATCTTAGTTATGT